GTTACTACTACATTTCAATCCCACTAAAGCAGCCCAGGACGACAAACACACAAGCAATAAAACAACTGAAATGTCTGGAAATGTCTGAAAACGGAGATAGGCTGGGAAAGATCTTTGCTTTAAAAGGTTTGTAGAAGAGGAAGGTCTCCAGCAGGTGCTGAAGAAACCACCGAGATAGCGCCAGTTTAATATTTGGGGTAGGGTGGGGGAATATTTCAAAGGGTAGGTGCCACAAAACAGAAGGCCTGGTTCCTACGTTGTGCAGAACACACCTCCTGATAGAATGCATCTGCCGCAGGTCCTTTCCTGCAGAACACAGCGATCAGTTGCACATATAAGAGGTGAGGTTGTCTTTCAGGTATCCTGGCCCCAAAGTGTGGGAATGTGCAGGGAGGCAGAAGAGGATATATTGTTTATTAATATCCTTCCTAACTTGTGTTGGCAAGTTCCTTTACTTAGCAGAGTTTACATTCCCCTTTTACATACATAGCGGATAGTTGGTTACAGGCTTGTGTAAGCCTTTCACTATTAGGTTCCTGGTAAGTTCCCTTATATCCCTCTTTAAATAAGATTGTGGCATGTTTATTCTTTTAAGTCAGTGAAAGAAGTTTACTCACATCATCAGTTCACTGTTGGATCCCTGAAGGCAGACTTAGTTACGGATATATATATGTAGATCTATCCCATATGTCCTCTGTTGGCTGAAAGCAACAGAGCATTTCTAGCTAAAAAGCTGCTCCAATGATGAATGGAGTCAAAGAGAGAGAGAGAGAGCTGTGTGGATCTACCCCATGTGGATCTACCCCATAGGGGGGAATAATCCCAGTGCTTCTGCTAGCTGAAAGCTGATCATATGAAGAAGGGAGTCAAAAAGAGAGAGGTTGCTGCGTGACTCGTCCTTTTGTTACCTGGACAGCTTAGGTAGTGCCCACCTTCTACCACGTGCAAAAGGAAGGATGTTCCAGCCCAGGAGGAACAGGAAGTTTTCGACGTGCTGGACCAAACATTCCCCTGCATGTCCATTCTAGGAAAACAAGGAATGTTGTACTACCAGGACAATAAAAACATAATAAATACTTTAGGAATGGTGTAGAAATGTAGGGGAGTTCTCTGCACTATTTGGCAGGACAGAAGCTTGTCAAATGGTTGCATCAGTGATGGACTTAAAGGTAAAGGTAAAGGGACCCCTGACCATTAGGTCCAGTCGTGACCGACTCTGGGGTTGCGGCGCTCATCTCACTTCTGACGTTCTGATCGGCAAGTCCTAGGCTCTGTGGTTTAACCCACAGCGCCACCCGCGTCCAGTGATGGACTTAGGGCTCTCAAATTTCAGCGGCACCCTGAGTGATTCTAAAATTCGGCACCCGCTGCCTCTCACACTTTGTTCTATAGCACTGTTGATGTGTCCCTTGCAGTGTGGCACTCAGTGCGACTCAACTAGTTGTGTTGCCCTAAAACTGCCTCTGGTTACATGCACCCAATGACATGCTCTCCCTCAGCAAGTGTGTATGCTATATAAGTTAACACTTGGTACATGAACATCTGCATTCAGCCACTTTCTCCTTAGGAAATGACTTATTCAGGCTTACGATCACAACATCTCAACATAACCCCAAATATGATGGATTCTCCCTATCTTCAAAGGACGCATAACGGCTTGAGTTCTACTAGCGGGGAGGGGAAGAGGGAGGACTTTGCTGACAGCATTTATTTCACCAATTCGTAGAACCAGCTGTCTCCTTGTCATTCCCGGACTCGGTTCTTAGTTGATTGCGAATCCATAATTTGTAAATCTCTGTATCTTGCATGTGCTTCGTGCGTGTCTTGCTTCAGGATTCAAACGGCGACTTGTGAGTCAGCCCGCCTTCATGCCTAGTCGAGAATCTGCAAATGACAAATTGTGAAATATGGATTAAGCCGATTATCTTGCGCCAGTCAAAGTTTGTCAGAGTTTTTCCGAGGGTGTGAATGTGATTCTGAAGACTTGTCAAGAAGGGGGAAAGATGTGGCTGAATATGATTTGCGGAACTGAAAAAAAAAGCTTCATGCGGTTTATAGGACTCCTTCTACCAATTCAGTCCCGTGAATATTTCCTAGATCAAAGAGAATGATTTCAAAGTCCAACTTGACAAATGTTGGGGAAGGGGAAAGAAGCAGGCATACGTATTCCACATTTCATATCTATTTATCTGTTTCAGTTCAGTCCTATCAGACCCAAAACTCACCTTTAACTGCAGTCTGCAATACGGGAGCCATGTTTTTACTGTTTATTTGTTTGTTGCTGCTAGTGTTGTTAATTTTCTTGAGTTCACATACTAGCGCTGCAATCTATGATTTAAAACAGAGTCATCTGCACACTGAGCTTTACAAAGCAAGCTAAGCCTACCAGAAAGAACTCTGCCCCAAGGGGGTTCCAATCTTGAATTCAATGGGTGGGGGTGTGTGTGTGGAAGGAAGAGGAGACCAGGAAGGTGGGGAGGGGGAGGGGAGGAGAGACAAAGGAACAAAACAGCTGAGAGGGTGGGACTTCTCTCTTTAGGGGTACCAGATACACAGAGGGACATATCCTTTGTTCATTTTACAGCTGTATAGAGGAAAGAGCTTGTCAGGGATGAGAAAAGCTCAGTCCCCTGAAATTCCCTGTTCTGCATAAGAACATTTGTTTGTGTCTCCTTTGTTTTCCTCCTCCCAATTCTTCCCTCTTCTCTTTAAACATCAAGAAAACCCTAACCCTAAAAAATGGTGACTGGTCTAATCAACCACAGGTCAGGATGCAACCTCCTTCTGGGTCCCAGTCCGCTTTGCGTCCTCCTCTTCTTTCTCCACCAGAAAAGCAGTAGGGGAGAGGCAATGAACTCCCACCTTCCCAGCCAGGCTACCTCTACTCTCTTTTCTCCTCCTTGCAAAGGACCACCTCCTGGAGCAGAAAACAGGAAGTGATGCTGCAGCAGCAGCCCAGGAGCTGCCCATGTGCCTGTTTTCTCCCTATGCTTTTGTGACCCGTGATTAAATGCTTTCTATACATTGCCCTCCTCGTCTTGTCAAGGCCAGTTGGCCGATGGCTGCCGCTTTCCCAGGCAAATCACACCAATTTCAGAGTTGATGTTGAAGGTCCATCTTAGCACAGCAGGAGTCCCCGAGAAAGCTCTCATCCATAGAGCAGGGGTCAGATACTGCCTTATTTCCTTAGCAGAGGGTTCTCTCTCCTCCCCACCCCCCAACACACTTTGCAAATTCATTGGTTACAATAAATCTCTCTCTCTCTCTCTCTCTCTCTCTCTCTCTCTCTTTCTCTCAAACCTTGGCCTTGCCAGATTAAGAAACTAGGACTGAAAAGAAAAGGCTAGGAATGAATGGGTGATACAGAATTCCCCCTCCCAGCAGTTCCTGCAGGTTTAATATCCATTTTCTCAATGGCTTGTGGACTTCATACATGTAAATTTTGAGAAGGTATATAAAAAAGGCTCTGAATTGCAGATAAATGCAAACAAACATAGACACACACGGAGAAGATCGATAGATATATGTGTGTTTGTACACGTGCGCACACGCACACACATATGATGTATATATCTGACATAAGAGCATCGAATGCTTTTCTGAATAATTTAAAGAAACTATTGTCTGCTGATCACCTTTTGATGTTGTATTGCAATTTTAACTGCTTTATTTCTCCTGAATATTTTACTTATTTTGGTCTCCTGTTCACAGCTCTGATATTTTATAATGTGAATAGTATATAAACATTTTAAAAATAAATAAATACATGCAATATATACATACATTTTATATATATATATATATATATATATGCTTTCGTAGATTTCACGGGTACAGGAATGCAGTTTGGTGTCTTCGGGTGTCTTCCCGTGTAAGAGTTGGGGTGTCTAGGCGACGTTTCGACGAGGTCTCACTCGTCATCTTCAGGCTGGTGCTTTCGGCTTTCTTGTTACTGGAACAGAGTACTCTGTTCCAGTAACAAGAAGCGAAAAGCACAGCCTGAAGATGACGAGTGAGACCTCGTCGGAAACGTCGCCTAGACACCCCAACTCTTACACGGGAAGACACCCGAAGACACCAAAACCTGCAATATATAATATATATATATATATATATTATTATATATGTATGTATTACACTAGTGAATAAGTCTACATATATCTGTGTACGATATGTTTATGTGTGCCAGTATTTACATGTTCATATAATATGCAGAAGTTAATACATTTGCACAAACCCATATGTATTTGTTTGCTTGTATGCCTGCACTACATTGTGTGAATGAAATATACATTTTTCTCTGTCTCTGTATGCAAACACAAACATACACACACACAAGAATTGGGAACTTATCTACACATAGGTCTGTGTGCAATATTATGTTGCCATATAATATTTAGATATTGCAAAGATGCCACCTGAAACTACCATTTTTAAACTTTTTTCCCCTTCCAGATAGCCATAGGGATAAATGGCAATATCAGTAAATAGATGGATAATGGTTACAGATATTTTGCAATAAAATATCTTTTAGCCCCCAGACACTAAGAAGAGTGTTGGTTATTCACTGTCCCTCCCATTCATATATTTCTCTCTTCCAATAAAAAAAAAAATACTAGTATTTTTTAATTGAATTAAAGCCTCAATAATGTTTTCCTAACTACAGCCCTCTGCTCCCTTTCGGAGTTGCTGGCAGAAAGGTATAATTTTGCAAACACTTTCTTGAAGAGCTGAGACTGAAGGACCCTCAACAATGTGGGCAGAGAGAATGGGAAACACCTCCACAAAGGAAAGGATTCTTAATAGCGGAGAATCTAAAAGGGACCCAGAGCAGGCCTGTCCTTCACAATAAGGACAGAGGGCCATGATTTGAATGGAGGGGGCCCCTACTTTTTAATCTGGACAAAAACAAAATGGTAATTAGGTCTGAAATCCCTGACTGGTCAAAGCTGTGGGGGCAGCAACTGGAATCTTTAGCTCCCTCCACCACCCCCCTCCACCCAGGCCCCAAACAAGAAGAACTCTGTCTGTCTCCTCCTCTTTAACTTTATTTCATCAATTAGCTCTTTAAAAAAAAGCAGTTAGGGAGAGAGAGAGAGTCTTAGTCAACTACAGAAACTTTTAAAGGGGTGGGCTTTCAAAAAGAGGGCTCTCTTCTTCTTCTTCAGAACTGAGGGAGGCAAGACTTCCAAAGGGCAGGTAGGTTTTTGGAGATATTTCGAATTTTTAGCAGCACAAAGTGGACTGCTGAGGGAAGCTTCGTTTGCATTGAAATTTAGGTTGGCTCTCTTCCCATCTCTTAACATCTCCTTGGCTTTTCATCTGCTTCTTCTAGATGCACCCAGGTCCTACAGAGGTTACCTAATTTTGTAGATTTCTCTTTTTTTGGTTTTGTTTTAAGTGTGCATATTCAGATTTCAGGACTGGATAGCTTCCTTTCCGCCCAGCCCCCCCCCCCGCCTGTGATCTTATAAACACATTTACTAAGGGGCAGATTCCACTGAACTCAACTGAAGTTACTTTTGAGCAAGCGCACTTTGCTAGCTAGCAGTGCACGCACCTTTTTGAAGTTGCAGCCACTCAGTTACCATGGAGGAGGTGGGTGTGAAGTAATTTAAAACGGTTGCAGCTGGTTTTGTCTCAGGATTTGTGCAGTTGGCATTTCATATTCCATTCATCCATGGGCCAGGATTTGACTGTGCCACATGTTGGCGTTGTTCTGCAAAGTCGGTATGGTTGGAAACAGACAGTAATTATTTTATTTTATTTTGTCCCCGGGGTTTTGGGAGGGGGGTAGCTGCATCCTTCCTTCTGGTCTGGGAATTTGCCCCCCTGATGGTTTGGAGTCAAACCATATAGCACTAAAAGGAGAAAAACCCTGTAAGAACTATCTGAGCAAAGTTGATAGCAGGATTATTATTATTATTATTATTATTATTATTATTATTAAAAGGAATTAGTTTGTGCAAACACCACAAATGACTTTGTGCCTGTGTCAGACCCGTTTCAGCTCTCTGGAAAGCTACTCTCTGCTGTCCAAAGCTATGACTGCTGTCCATAATAGAGTTAAGCTGCAATGTTTGCATCTTTGATGCTGATGCTCAACAGAGCTTAACTCGTTTGTGGATGTGATTATGTCCTACATAATTTGAATTCATTCATTCATGTTTAAAAGTAAAAGTCGTGTGGTTTTTCTTGGGGTGGGGGGGGGAGGCCGGGAGTTTAAACACCGAGATTTCAGCAAATATCCTGACTCTTAATTGATAAGCGAAGGCAATTTAAAGGAAGGAGAAGGGAGAAGGTTCCTAATCACACTTCCTGTTTCCTAAGATTTGGGGTCGGTTGGGCTGGCATCTGTTCACCCCTTTGTTTGTTTGGAGGAAAACGAGTTTGAATCTTTCTACAAACTGATGGTCTTGTAAGCGACACAACCAGCCTCCGATGTTGAAGAGGGTTTTGTATACACGCGTCTGTCTGCGTTATGGGAATGTAAGACGATTTGCCCCCGCCGTTATGTTTCCCGTGTCTAAAGGCCGCATTGTTTCAGCGATTCTCTCGGCTCCTGGGTTCTTTTGTCCCACAACTTTTATCCTCCCTTAAACAGAAGTCGTTCCTGTCCTCACGCAGATATATCCACACCTGTCCCGTTCACAAAATACGCCTTCCTCTGATCCGTATTAATTAACCCCAAAACCTACCACGGGATGAATATCAGGCATTTAGAAGCGAGCACAAGGATCTGGACTCGCCCCTCTAGCCTGAAGAGGGTTCAGCGTGTGTGCACACGCGCGCTCGTGTGAATGGTGATGGAGAGGCAGGGCAGCTAATCCGGAGGCAAAGCGATCTGGGTTGGTTCCTGTAAACGCAGACCAAGTGTTCGTCTGTAGGAGCTGCTGTATTCTGAACAGGTCTAACCTCAGCCAGGTGGTTGCATCTGAATCATACAGGGTTAGAGTCATCTAGTCCAATTGTGTCTCTGTATGTTTGTGTCTGTATTTCAAAAACTGATGTGCTTCTAAGCAGATAATTCTTCGCGCACTATCAAGCCCTTTCACCCCCCCCCGATTCCTTGCACAGTTGCCCACAGATTTCAAGTGGGAGGATTTAAGCGCACTACTGTAACTGCCCCCCCCGACATAAAATGGACCGCAGTGTGCTTAATTTTGTACCGAATGCTCCCTCCCGCCGTTCCCAAACAGAGATCAACGAAATGGTTCATAATAATTCCTGGTGCGTAGGTGGCAATCTGCCTTTCCTTTCGGAGAGCTTAGAGTTGCATCTTTAAATAAAATAAATAAAAAATCCTCGCACAACAACCTTGCGAGGTAGGCGACGCCCGAGAGATAAGAGAGCTGCCTGGCCGAGGTCACCAGCCGGTGTGCTGGGTGCGATTTGAACTCAGGCCCCAAAGTTCTGTTCAGCCAGAAAACACCCCGCTCCCCCCTCTTCTGATCAAGATTCTGTGGATTCGATCTGAAACCGGTTCTAAGGAAAACCAAACCCCTGTGATGCGCAGATTATCCTTCCTATCGAAATTTAAGAGGCAGGGGCACGCACATTCTGTCTGGTGCAGTGAAATATTTAGCTTAGCTTTTGCAAACCAGAGACTCCCCGTTTGGGAAAGCACTGCAATGTGTGCTTTGGGTGACACGCTCCGAAATGTATCATCTCTGCCCTGACGGGAGTTAATTGCAGGAGCGTTTGGCCACAGTTTTTTTTTTTTTTTTACTACGCTCGTTTTTCATTCGTTCCTTCTTCCGTCCGTTCATTCCATTCATTCATTTATTTTTATTTTTTAAAAAATGAGGCTGGGATGGTGCATAATTTTTCCTCCCTTACAGTCAGCACAGTGATTATTCTACTATAAAACCATTAATGCAAGAATCAAATCAAAATAGTTTATGGGCCAAAGCGCTCGTGCGTTACTGGAAGTAAATCACTTCCCACCCAGCCCCAAACGCAAACAGAAACCAGTCAGGGAAGGATCATAATTGTTGCATTAAAAAGAAGAGGGGGCGAGAAAAATACCCCCCTCTCTTTAGACATTGCGAGCCTCAGCCCTTAATGTTTACAAATCCACCCCCACCAAAAAAACCTGGTGAATTTAGATGTGTTAGATTTCAAAGTATTTCGTTTTTCTAGGATGTGTTTACAATTAAATACTTAAGAATACCTGAGCTCTTTGGGATGCCATCTTGAAAATATGTCTTTTAAAACACACACACACACACAGAAACACACACACACACACACACACACACGCAAAGAGCCCAAACGCTTCCTAAAACGATACCAATTAAAAGAACCTATTTTTGAAAATAAAAAACCCTATTTCCCTCTTGATGTGAAATTCTATTTTTCCAAGGAAAACGGCTTCCTCTTTAAAAACTTCGCAGACCTTTTTTTTTTTTTAATTCTTCTGCTCAGGTTAATATTATTAACTGTGAACAGTTTTTTTCGCTTTGCACCCACCCCCTTAAATAATGAAAAATCGCGGGGGGTCCCTTCCCCTCCCCAATCACCCTCCAACATCCCAAACCCGAGCATAGAAAAATATTTAATCGCAAACTTTATTGCGTGAATAACGCTGAGAGAAAGAGGCAATCTTTCAGTTTCAGTTTAGTTTTTGTTTTATCTCTGAGTCATTAAATGTTGCGAGAGTGGGAACAGGGAAGATGGATTTCTCTCTCCTGTTTTTCCTTTAGCAGGAAGCTGTGCGGCGGGGGTGGGGGGGGTGGGGAGGGCGGGGAAGGCAGTTGCCTTTTGTTATTTATTTATTCCTTTCTTCCTTAGATGTCCCAAAACGTTCTGAATTCTAAGGAAACAGCCAGCTGATTGGTTCAGAAGAACTGCCTCCCCCAAGCCAAAAATGAAACAAAACAAAGCAAAAAAAACCCAATAGCACAACATAACCAGATATAGAGAGCATCTCTTTCTGGTACCCAGAAATGCTGGATGAAAACAAGCTTCCTTCCTTGATTCTGCTTGCAGGATGTCTGTCTGTGTGTGTGTGTGTGTGTGTGTGTGTGTGTGTGTTAAACATCAAGGAGAATCCATTGGTGCTTAAAATGGGTGCGCCAGAGATTATTTAAGGCTTGGTGTGGGGCGCAGGGGAGGGAGAGAACAGTTCTTGTTGTGCTGTTTTCCTGAGAAACCATCACACAGATGCGATACGTTTAGGTTTCTCTTAAGCAAGTAATTGCAAAAGCATTGGGGTGGTGATGGTCAGCCTCTCTCTCTCTCTCTCTCTCTCTCTCTCTCTCTCTCTCTCCCTCTCTCCTGTGTGTGTCTGCATTTGTGTGTGCTTTTATGCGCCAGTGTGTTGTGAGACCCATCGCCTCTTTGCCTCTCAGCATCAAACTCCCATCTATTCCCAACATGCAGGATGCAGCTTTCCTGTAGCCTCAATTGGCCTAATGATGCACTTCTGCCAATCTTGTGGGGGCAGCTGCCTTGCCACTGGGGTGAAGGGGGTCATTGGGGGGGTGGGGGCAAAGCGGGTGGGTGAGAGGAGGCGACCACAAGTCCTTTGCAGGTCTGCAAACTTCTGGGCACTGCAGAGAGGAGGCAAAACTCTCCATTGGGAAGTTGTTGTTGTTTAGTCGTTCAGTTGTGTCTGACTCTACATGACCCCCTGGACCAGAGCATGCCAGGCACTCCTGTCTTCCACTGCCTCCTGCAGTTTGGTCAAACTCATGTTAGTAGCTTCGAGAACACTGTCCAACCATCTCGTCCTCTGTCGTCCCCTTCTCCTTGTGCCCTCCATCTTTCCCAACACCAGGGTCTTTTCCAGGGAGTCTTCTCTTCTCATGAGGTGGCCAAAGTATTGGAGCCTCAGCTTCAGGATCTGTCCTTCCAGTGAGCAGTCAGGGCTGATTTCCTTCAGAATGGACGTTGGGAAGAGGGATGCTTTTAATAGAGGGGAGAGCCTTTGATAGTAAGTCAACGGAAGGAGGGGGAAGAGGGGCCAGGGTTGTCCATCTCCCCCACTGCCCCACCCAAATACTTGAGTTAACCGAAGGGCTACTGGATGCAGCTCATTTGCATGCCCACATGTAAATGAAGTTCTGTATAGTACAATGGATTCTACCTTCAAGGGATGAGGAGAGCTAACCCATAGCATGGAACTTGGGAGGCAGTGGGGCTTCCTTCTGAGAAGATGTGTAAGGGGATGGGGCAGCAAGCTGACAGTGGACTTA